ATATTCCCTACATCCAAAGTTTAAGAAAAATTATTTTGTACAGCACACTTTGCTGTATTCTAATAAGAAATTAGTGAACCTAGAGGTCTCACATATTAGTTTGTTATTGAAAGTGTTCACTAAATCCTGCAACAATAGTGTGTGTTTATTTTCTGGTGGTGCTACATATACATTAAAATTTGTGCACTTAATGATGTGACACATTCTACACCATATAAATTTTTCCTACAACTATTAATCAAATTCCAACTTGAATTAAATTAGATTAGTGACATATCATTCGGTGTCCAAATTTGGTATGCCTAGCATTATTCTTATTCTTTTATTATATTATTACACTAAGTGAGATGAAGGAGATGAGAAAATTTGAACCCAAGACCCAATGAGTTGTAGAGAAGACCTATATACCATTTCTTTGTGCAACAACAGTGTATTTTACTCTTTGATTATGAGCTCAAACTGAACCTTTTTTCTTCTTCTACGAAATAGTAAAATACCTTGTTATTTTACTAATTACAGTCACCAACCATTTTTGAAAAATGTAAAGTCTTGTTTCGGAAATGTACCTGTTTGTGGCAAAATGTGGATCTAGCCCTTCACACAGCTCCCCAAGGGTTGATGCCACCTTTGTGTATGTTGGTCGTCAAGCTCTAGCTTGTTGGTGTGCTACAAGAAGAATACAAAGTTAGTTTTGAAAGGTGCCTTTGTATGGCCTTAGGAGTAGGCCTTGAGGCTCACAATCAAAACTAACAAAGTGTTAGGCGTGCCACTGCTATGTCAGTATAGCATATGTAGAACAAGTGTGTTTTAGTTGATTACATGTGCCCCAAGTTATTCAAACTTCTTGTTATCAAAAGGTTGTCGCAGATGGGCTAAGTCTGCATTAAACTCTTTTTCTTGCCTTGTAAATAAGGACTTTTAGTTCATGATCTTGTATGTTCGAATGGAGGGAGTCCAGAGCCCTTTAAGTCATTTGCTTGATTCCAAGTTGCTTTTAATGAAAACAGATATATTAAGTTAACCAGATCCAGATGCAAATGAGACTCTTAAAATAGGAAACAGGTGGAAATGATTTGAATACATGCTAAAGAGTGCATTAAGCAACAGATCTACTAATTTAGAGGACAAACAAAGAGACTTGGGCAAGATTTCACCTTGTCTGGCAATGTTGAACCTCTTGCAACCACTCCCTTTTGAGTTTGCAGGGGTTGTACACTAAAAGGGATGGATGGTAAATAGGTTTACAAGAGGGAATCGATACTATAACACTAGGGGAAGTAACAGAGCTTTTACACTAGACAAAAGACAGCTTTTCTAAGGAAACTATTGCTAAAAGGACTAAATCTGAGTTGATTTCAGCTTTCTGGATGCAAATCTGGCTTGAGAGCAGAGTTTGTATATTCTTGAGTTTGATTGGTTGAGTGTCCTTGTTCCTGATGCTTGCCTCCCTTTTATAAGCAGTTTGGCCCGACTGCCCTTAGTTCTACTTTTGCTCGAAAGCTCTTGGAGGGTAGTGAGTCATCATCTTTTCACTTGTAATGCCACTAGAAAATGCTTTTTGGCTGATAGTAGGTTGGTCTCCATTACTGTCACTTCAGTTATAGATACATGGCTCATGTCTTGGCTGAGAAGGCTTCAATTTGCTTCAGATTTCGTGGCTGGGCTTCGGGCAGATTCACCTTGTTTTGACATCTTTGGACCTTCCTTCAGTCTAACCCAATATTCAAATATTAACCCAAACACTACTAAACTGAATACATTTTATATTAGTGGTTACACTACTAATTACATTAAGGCCTTTTGTATAAAACTCCACATTTATTAGATATGCAGTTAAGTTGGATACAATAATAATGGTTCCACTACTACGTACTAATTTCACTAATATCTTTTGTATAAAACCCTACACCTATTGAACTGCACATGTAGTTAAGATAGTATTGATGATGTTTAGTAGTTGTTGATGGGTCGTCACTGAAACTTTGACTAGATATCAAAGTGAGCTGACCATTTGGGCGTGATTGAACCTAAATTGGGACTACAAACTGAAAACCTCGAAGTCCCGAGTTGGAACACCCGGATTGAATCTCTGAAACCGAAATCAAACAAATAGGGTTAGTGATGATGAATTGACTTCATGTGTGGTCCAATAGAGAGTTGTTGTATGTGAGGGAGTGTGTTAAAAAATATAAAGTCTCACATCATCAATCTAAAAAAATAAATACACTTATATTGAATGATTTCGCTACTAATTATATTGACCTTATGATATATCATCCCCCTATTATATACGTTGGACCGTTTCTCAAACTTTGACAGCCACAAGTTAGGATCCCTTTCTTCTTTTTGTTTGTTACATTAGTGTTGTTAGTTTTTCTGATGTAAACAAAAATTATTTTTAAAAGAAATGAGAATGTGAAACATTCTTAAAAAATCTATGTGAAACATTCTTAAAAGATCTATTGAAGTCACTGTTGCATCTCTTGAGCACATGATTAACCTTGGTTCTTGTCAACTTTCATCGATTGATTCGCAAGAGAAAGGTTTGCTCTGGTTGGCCAAGGGTAGAGCACGAGGCCAGTGTATCATTGCCAAACTTGCATACATGTTGGGCACTGGAGGGCCCCAACAGTAGCTATATGGTGGGCTGTATACCCACTGAGAAGATAACTTCAATTCTATATGATGGGGGCTTTGAGGGCTTGCCAATCACATATCAAACTAATATTGTTAAATCTCATTAAATCCTGAGTGTATTATTGGGTTTCTTTTTTCTTTCTGACCAATTTTGTACATACAACCTTAGTATATGTCCAAGTTTTTAATCTTTCATATACAGAGCTAAAGCTACCAGCCGGCAGATGGTACAAACATAATTAATTAGAAATGGGGAGCTTCCAAAAGGTTAGCCTATAGCCAGCCAGGCTGTGTTTGCACTTGCACATCACAAATAGTAAGTACTTTATATTGAACCGAAACCTGTCTAAGGTTAAAATCACAATGATTGGTGACAAGTTCAAGCTTTGGCTAAATATATGGAGAGAAGCTTAGATACCTATAAACAATTGTTCTATATCATCACGTCGTTACAAGTATTCTTGGCAATCTAGGGCTATCTCCCCATCTCCTTATCTCACATTATGTGAGGTCATGTGGAGGGATAGGAAGAGCGAGCTGCGACCCCGGTCCGATCGTATGCTAATTTGATGAATAGGGATGGCATCCCTCAGAAATGTTTGATTTTGTAATCTTGACAAGAAATATATGTATTATTAGATCATCTTTTTGGTCTTGCTACAAGATTATGTATAATTCATTGGTACAAATTTTATTCAAGATTTAACTGTTACTAAGATTCATATATTTCTATAATCAAGATCTAATTGTTGATTTTTCTATACCACTCAATAACACGTACCATGAAAGAAATATTGCATTTTTTTTACTGCACTTAACTGATGGTTACGAAACATGATCTTTTAGTTCCATTTGCAAAACTAAAAAGTACTGTTGAATAAGGACAACGATGATGAACCCATGTGATGAACCACATTTGCACAAGTGATTCGAAATTGCGGCTTACAGTCTGACTTCCATGCTCATGCATAGGAAAAGTACTAATTGTTTATAACGGAATGAGGGGAAAAAGGGAATAATAAAGATAAAGTAGATTAGCTACTCTCTTGATTATTGAATGCTTTTATCTTCACTCTGGTCGAGTCATGAACCACCAAAGAAAAAGTTATTTACAGTGCGTCTCATGTTATATTGCGATCTATGTAGGCTGGACATATTCAGCAACTAAAGGTGGTGCTCTTGTACAGGGTTTAGGATGCCCACTTCTCAATATCATGCCAGTATTATGGGTTTGAGATGTCACGATGATATCTTTAAAGGTGTAGGAAGTCACTCTCCCAACAATCATATTCCAAACGGCCAAATTCCATGACGGCATCCCTAGGGCCGGTGACCATGTCGGTAATATTGTTGGTGACACTGACTGAAATGGCGAATGAATAAGCATCCAGCTTGTCAAGTCTTCCTCTGTCTATTTAGTTCCTCCTTCCATACAAATATCTTAGTGCTATTTATATACAAGGCCATCTAGACAGTGTTACTAACTTTGTACTAATTAGTTGAAGCTGTTGATGATAGGGATGTTGTGTGCATGCAAATAATATACAAATCTTGATGCAAATCCCATGTAGTTTGTGCTAACCTGCATAAACCAGACGATGAAAAAGTCAAATAGTAATGCTAGTACGTACAATGTGTTGCTTATTATAATAGCTTTTGTTTGTACCTAATTAACAACATGAACATCCAACTAATAAGTTTTATATATTAATCGCTGCCGTCTTACTTTGGATATTGACCACATTGGATGGCTAAATGCACTACTCTAATATCTTGACTACCATTGAGTTAGTGGACCTGATGGCTTTAGTGATATATACACACCAATTGCGGTAATTTAAAAAATAATATACAACTTATATCAAATGATTACGTTTTTAGTTATACTTTTGCGATAATATTGCACATTTATTAGATTGCACAAGTAATTAAATTAGGGACAATATCTGTGTAATTATTAGTAGTGGGACACTCAATCCGTTTTTATGAAATCTTGACACATTGTGATATATAACGTTGAGTTCTAACCAATCCTGCATCGCTTTGTGAGGGAGATTAAATAGCTTATATATATGTACATATATCTTGCCCGAGACTTTGGTTGTGATACATACAGTTTTAAAATGTAGGCCGGGAGGGAGACAATTAACAGGAGGAGTAGAATGAAGAATTTGACATTAAGCATAGTGTTGATCACTTCTGATGTGAACAAGTAACAACGAAATTGGTATGTGATGACAGCTGCAATTATCTTGTGTTCGCATTGCTTTGCTTTTGGTTATTGGTGTCTGCATCATGACTCATGAGTAACTGAGTCTTATACTGCAACCGTTAATCATTATTACTGCGAAAGAAGAGGGTTTTTCAACTCATGCATGCTCTTGAAACAATAAACAAACATTTGAATTGAAATCGAATCGGGATCCTCACAATTCGTTTTTTGTAGCTCTTGTACAAAAATTATTGGAACTATGATATGAATTCTCAACATGTAAAATCACACTCAGAAAAACTTTTCGGTAACTGATCAGTTTTCTTATGCTTCTGGCCTCCTGACCACTTTAATCCCTACCTCTTTCGTAGCCCGTATTGCAGCAACTCAGCCAACAGGAAGGGCTGTTACTATCCTGCAAACATATTAACATAAGTTATAGAACTCTCTTCTGTGAGCATGGGTTTATTAAGGAATAGTAATTTCTACAGCTAACTCCTAATGTCGAACTCTAAACCAAATTTCTTGATGGACAAGGAACAAGAGAAATAGTACTCTCCTCTAATTATTCCTAAGCAAAAAGAGAAAAAAAATGAAAATAATACTAAAAATTTGGTATTTATGTGACAGATTCTGAACCAATAGTCAATCAAGTTATAAACAAAAATCCTCTTTTTCCTATTTTTACAGTTTCGAGAAAGAAGACTTAATTTGGAGATTCATGCACTATCTACAGATGATAAGTGAAAATAATGAGTGTGATAGACAGATTCTTCATTTTGCAGACACATAAATAAGGATCAATTGATGGTATGAAATTCGGTATCACTTACCATATCTGATTTAGGACTCTGATTTCCGGTGTCTGAGCTCCCCATGGTATCACTAGCTTTTCTCTTCATCTCCTTTGGGCCTGATTCCTTCCTTGTAAGAGTGTCATTTCGAGTCAAGAATGCTTCATTCAGCTTATTTTCCGGTCCAATTTTAATGGAATAATTAGTACCTGATACATTAACATAATTGGGTTGCTTTGCTGGTTTGGCGCTGCTCAAAACCTTCTTGGGGGGAATAGTACTGTCGGTGTAGCTTAATGTTCCTTGGTTTGGACCTTCCCTGTTTGCTTGAATTTTCTGACCATTAGATGTGGACTTCGCCAAATCTATCGAAAAATACGCATCGCTGAATTGATAACTTGGAGTCAATGTAATGTCTTCAGAAACCGAAGTTGCTGTATCTTTTGAATTCAAAGAAGTGATGGCCATGTCTGCATCCGTTTGATGTGATCCACCATTTCCAAGTTTGCTAGTTGTAAAGTTGAACTCTTGTTTCGGAGAAATTAATCTCTTATCCCAGCCGGTGACTGCTGCACTTGAAACCTTTTTGTCACCAATGCTTTTAATGTTACCCTTAAAAACTATCTGTCTTACCAAATGCAAGAGTTCATTGCCTTCACTGTTGTAATTTTCTGCCTCATTGATCCCGAAAAAAGCTCCTGAAGAATAGCTGCTCTGCCTTGTAAACCCGTTGGCGGGCGGTGGGGGAATTGGATTTTGGGTAGGTTCAAGACCTGGTTGCATATTATAAATGGCACAAGAAATATGAGAATCAAACTCACAAATGTGACACCTATACAGCCATTGATCATAACCAGACTCATTGCAGAGATCACAGCTCAAATCGAACGGTGGAGAAAATGATAATTTCAATGCATGAGGGTGCGATGAAGTTTTAATGGAGAAGGGCAGGCCCGAGCACAAGCTATGATAGTAAAAGCCACAATCGGCACAATCATAGTAAAACCCCATGACATGAGTTTGACAAGCCCGACAATTCAAGGCCCCTTTGGTGCTTGAAGGAGGAGAAGGATGGAGGTTCAAGTAGTGGCTTGGATGTGCCGGATGACGCATCTTGCGGGGCATGCTGTAGCATACTTGGTGCAATAAAAATGGGCAGGTTGGGCAGCTGTAGTAGTCCTTACCGGACTGTATCATGAGCTTGCACCCTGCACAGAATTTGTTCTGTTTGGAAGGTGAATAATTTGTAAGCTCCAATGGATGTTCATGGCTAAAGTGATGAAACTTCAACTTCTGATTTTCCATTATTTCCACTGCTTTTGCTTCTTGAAAAAGTGCTTTTCTCTGCAATAAATTCAAGTTTTTGGGGGTCTCAACAATTTCTTGAAATATCCGCAACTGGAACTCCTATGTCCTTGACCGATTGGACTATTTTCAAGCAGTATTTGGCCGGCACATACAGTCCAATGCTTGATAAGCTGACAATTTGCTGCATTCATTCAATAATAATATTAGTATTATTATTCAAACTGCAGCAATTAATTTATTTTTTATGCTGTTAAATGCTTGGCACATCAACATCAAGGACAAGGTTAGCACAGGAAAAATGTCTAAAGAGAATGTCAAGAATAATTCGTTTTTCCTTGAGATGATTAATTCTCTTGAAAATATACAAAGAGACCCTCTTTTTCCTGCTTTCTTGCAAGGGGGTTTTAAATTTGAACTCTATGCTGTGTACCCAAAGAAAGAATAAGAATTATCGAATATTTCTGTTGCATTGCAGGGATTCGAACGCTGGATCAGTCTTAATCCTAACCCGTTACCCCACCCAACCTCACCGTTTGGGCTAAGTGGAGGGCTTTGCATTACCGGGTCTACGGAGAGGACATGCATGGAGATTAAACATTTCAGTCACAAGCATCCATTGATGTTTAAGGAATTAGAGCAGAAAAATGAAAACAATAGGCTAGTTTTCTGCAATGGATGCTCGGACGCAGAGATTGGCACTTGCTACTCTTGCAATCAAAGGCGCCTTCTGTTTGATAACGTGTTTAAGTGTCGTATGTGCAGCAGTTTTAGCAAAGGTTTTGTCTACAGTTGTAAAAAGATGTCCTTCTAATTTGACCTATGCAATCTTCGTTTGCATTCAAATATTAGGCTCATAAGCATCCCGTCAAATCAAAGGAACAAAGCCTGGATGTCCTTGCACACAGGCCTTATTAAAGAGAGGGGCATCCCTTGCCTTGTCTATGGAAGTAAAGCAGTCGCCCGCTTCAGTTGTATCAGTGCGCAACTTTGATATATGTGTTCAGCGTGTTAAACTGCCTACGGCTGCAAGGCACAAATCCGAAAACCATTGCCGATAGCTTAGCACATCAATGTTAGTACAAAACTCTATCTAATCTCTACATGATCATAGCTTAGCAGATCATTGCTGATTTTATATATTGCTCATTACACCGAGAACAACTTAAGAATCCTTCCTACAGCTCAAACTAGTTGACAGAGGATTCAACCTAGTAGATCATTGATAATTTAATACTTAACTAGTTGACAGAGGATTAAACACGTAAGAATGATGTGAGCTGTTAAGTGACTGTTAAGTCTGTTAAGAAAGCTGTTAGTAGCTGTTAGTATGTTAACACTGTTATAAGAAGTTTGTTAGGTAGTTAGTTCTGTTAAAGCAGGTATCTTAGAGTGTAAGTCATGTGTGGCTATATAAACAGAGTAATAACTCTGATCATTTCGATTAAGCAATACAGAAATACAATTTACATTTTCTCTCTTTCTCTCTCAAGAGTTGTTCTTCTCTCTTCTTTGCTTGTTACTTTCTCTGCAACATTGTTACATTCTCAGCAATCCTTCACTTCTGTTATCATGGTATCACTCGCGGGACAGTCCTCAGTGTCGGTCTTCCGCTGGGTTCTTTGAAGTTCTTGGATTAAGATTTGTGCTTTTTTGTGATTTGGGTCAAGATTTCGACCACCATCAGGTTCTTTTGTTTTCTGGTTTCTACAACGCACATAAACTCTTTTGCTTTTGCTACTCTTTCCAATGATGCTATAGAGCATGTCATTGGATGAAAGAGTTCACAAGAAGCCAGGAACTGCCTACAAGAAAGATTTGCATCAGTAACAATGGTTCGTTTGAATCAACTGAAGACAGAATTTCACATTACACAGAAAGGAGGAGATTATGTGGACAAGTTCATGCTCAGACTCAAGGGGATTAAAGATCAGTTAATTTCTGCAGGAGAATTTTGAAAAGGTCGCTTGCGCTTTTTTCAAAATTCTTGAGTCCGGTGAAAGCCTGCCCGATGTAAATAAGACCTTTAAGTAACTTTTAGATTTGAGTAGCCATCTTCTTCTCAATGATTTTAACATGAATGCAGGGTAGGATGCAGTTTAGCACACGGAGTGCACAAATGATTTTAGTATGCTGGTACAGATGACAATCATCTTCTTAAGTTAAGTATGATTAGGAAGAACCCATCCTGCAGTTCAAACCACCCCTACCCTGTCCCTGCAACATATAAAACAGGGTTAAACACTTCAATCTAGCTGGTTCGAAGATTATAAAACATCCGACAATAGGAATTAAGATGGTTTGTAAAATGAAAATGCATCAAACCAATATATACCTTTCTTATAAACTCATCGACTGAGAAAGGGAGCAAGCAAGCAGAGGTCGCCGGCAACAGAAAAGTCAGTTTTCATTTGAGTAAAATCCCCAAAAACCGTAATTTATATACTCCCAATCAAACGCAAAAAGAATAATTGACATATCATAAGACCCTTTCTGACGGCCAAATTCATCGCCAACGGAGGCGGTTGTCGACCGTCACTGTACCTCCATTTCGTGCCGCCATGTTTGAGGCTTTCAAACGTCACTACTTGGTTTGTGGGCTTCACATCGAGAGATATGGGGAGCGGAGAGAATGGAAGAGCAGAGGAAGATCAAAGATTGTGGGTTTTCCAGTAGAAGGAGAGAAAGGAGGGATGAGAGATGAGAGATGAGAGGAGAGCGCACGTGTAGGAGATTCAAACCCAATTTATCAAATTATATATACTAAAACTCAGTTTCTTAACACTGTTCATTAACAGTGAAATGGCGAAATTGCCCTCTATTTCTTCTTGGTTCCCCGTTCTGTTCTCTTATCGGTGCAGTGAAATGGCCTTTTTGCCCATGTTGGGCACGGGTCCATCGTCCTACTTCTTTAGCCTTCAATTAGGTTTTTTCTTCCCCTTACCTTTCTGTTGGCTTTTCTCTCTCGCCGATCTCTGCTTCGATCCGTCTTATTTTGCGTTCTGTTCTTCTAAAAGCTTGCGTACCTCTCAAATCCTCTGTACTTTATTTCACAAAATATTCACGAAATTGGCCTCTAAAGTTTTATCCTTTGTTGTAAAATCATGCGTTCCTTCTTTTTGTTTTTTGGGGATTTTGTTTGCGGTCTCCGTTTTCAAAGAAGTCGTACATCCCTGTGAACGTAGATTTGTTGACGTTCTGTGGAAACTCATAAAATTGGTTTCCAAGGTTTTATCCTGAACTTGCAATCGCTGGGAAGACTTTGTGTCTCTTTTTGCGTCTGTCATACCGGTGTTGTCGCCGGATTTCCGACGAATTTTCAGCCCAGTTTGGGAACGGCCTGTTTTCAGGTTATTGTCCGATAAATTCCATTGAACCCAGGTGCGTTTTATAATAGCTGTGTGTGATTTTTTTTTTATTTTGGATTTTTATTGATTTGAACGAACGAAACCCTAACGGTTTGGTTTTACGGTGAATTGTAGTGTTTTCGAGGCTTTGCTGGCTAAAAGAGGATTCTGCCTTTGACGTCCTCTGTTGAAAAATCTGAAATTTGGCAGGAGCTGGAACCGTTGTTTTGGGTATGGTTTCCCTGCCTCCACTTCTTCATTATTCTGTATGCATTTCTTATTTAAATCATTGGAATTTGTGTTTTTGTTGAGTTTGATTTTGTGTGAATTCATTTCGGTTGATATCTCAAAATTTGATAAGACAGTTGTGCTTTTATCAAATGTTTCTTTGCTTTGTGTGATTTCATTTAGATGGATGCCTCAAGGTTTTTTTCTACTCATTTTCTGATAATCCTGCCTGCTTTTTCCATTGCTATAATTTTTTTGAGCATTCTTGCACTCCTAGGGAGACGAAATTGATATTAAATGTGGATCACAAATTTGGGTGTGTATTAGAAGAGAAATGTTGGTTCTCCTCTCTTTCCAAATTTTTTAATTGGGTCTCTCTCTCTCTCTCTCTCATAATTGGTGGGTTAGAGCAGGGGATTAGGGGGTTGGTGTCTTGGATGCAAGAACTGGCCAACAACTAAAACTAACAAATTTGCAGAGGTGGAGTTGTTTGGGAAAGCTATTGTTTTTTCATCCAAGAAGTTATTTGGAGTCTTTTGGTGACTTTGTAATCTCCAAATTCTCAACAATGTAGTTGGCAAAAGGAGGATGTTGTGGTAATTTCTTGAGTAAAATTATGAGTAGAAAGAAACCTTCATTTTGGACCTTCTCCATGGGATCTAAAACGTATCATTCTGGGGAAGAAATTGGCAATTTAGTGTTGTGGTACTTTTTACAATGCTTTTCCAATCTTTGAACATCACATCATTTCATTTTGTCAAATGATACATCAATTTCCATCTTTGCTATTTTCACGTGTTGTTACAGTACTTTAACTGATCTTTGTCCATAATTTTTTACTAATTTTAATTCTACATTCTCATTTTGGCCAAATTGTTATATAATTTTAACTTACTTTTAATTTCTTGATATCCATGTCGTTTACATACTTTTTAACCATAGATCACATAACTTACATTTACAATTGTATTGTTTCAATTGTTTATATAATTTTTTCTTTGTTCCCTGTAACATGGTGTCATGGTATGCTTTACTGGTATTGAATATGGACTTGGATTGTCTGCCCTCCTAGTTGTGGTGCCCTTCCATGCCCTCCTATTTTGTGCGGTCACGGTTAAGCCATGTCAATATTTTATATTTTTATTATTTTTTGTCTTATTATCTTATTAAAAATTTAATATAAAATATTGACGTGGCTTAACCGTGACCGCACAAAATAGGAGGGCATGGAAGGGCACCATAACTAAGAGGGCAGACAATCCAAGTCCATTGAATATAATTGGACAAACTCCTATGAATCTGTTATTTCCAATTTAAACACTGCTGATAACTTTGAGGTTCATTTATTAGTTCAAGTTTATGCAACAAATGTATAAACCAAGATCTATAATTTTTGTATTTATCTATTTTCACAAAGTACTGTTAGCTGATTGATGTGAATATCAATTGTATGGTTTGTGTTGGTCAGTTTATGCTTAATACAATGTCATCTACGGGATCCCTTCATATATATTAGAATTCTTAGTAAGATTTGTGCCAACTGTTTTTGTTATGTGGAAGTTGAAACCTTTCTTTAGGGTTGTAAATAGAGTCCCATATATATGTAAATAGTGTATATACACATTATAACTTTCTACGTATTTTATACAGTTTTAAAACCCGCAGCATCGCGCGGGCACTTTTGCTAGTATGAAACTGGAATATGAGACTGCATTTGTATGAAGAAAACCTCATGGTGGTGGATTTCATATAAAAAGCAAGGTTTTAAAAGACGCTAGGCACTAGTCGGGCGGCGGGCTAGGGCCTAGCGCCCAGGCGGATTAGGCGGATTTAAGTAAATTCATTATATTTCGTGTAAATAAATGTCTGTTTATACTTAAAATATATATAATTTCATCATAAACTACAAAATAGAATGACATATGTATTATAAAGTATTGGCATATAATGAAAACATGGGGAACAAGCATATAGTGTGTGCCCATTTAAGTATTCAACAAGTCTCTTACAATTTATTGAAAAAAATTAAATGCAAATTGAAAGTTATCTATTTTCTATCAAAGTGAGTCGCAACCTAGGCAGGTGCCTAGGCGAGTCTGAGCGGGTTAGGCGGTCTAGGCGCCCTTTATTAATTTTCAAACGCCTAGGCATTAATCAGGATAGTGACCAGCCGCCTAGCGCCTAGGCGGCGCTAGACGGGGATTTTTAGAACAGTGATAAAAAGCACCTGGACAATTCCCCATTAAAAAAATATGTATCTATAAGCATGTGAAATTTTCGAATATGAAGAAGAAAATCATATAAGTAGAAAAAAAACCGTCCAAGTTGTGCATATCATCATGGTATAGAATCTTTGTGGAAAAACATGTATACCAAAAAACATTAGGGGAAACTTGAAATAAGTCCAATTTTATAGCTCAACATTAGAATTAGTCCAATTTTTAGCTACTTTTGACTTAGCTCCAATGACTAGGACTCCATGTCAGCAATTTTTCTGATTAAGTTGATTTTTTTGCATTGTTATTACTATTTTACCCTCCTATGACTTTTGCACGTTCTCCATATATTTCCCACGTTTTAAATTTTTATTAGAATTCAAATTCATTGTTTAGTTCATCTTTCTCCCTGATTTCTTGATAACAATTTTTGAATTTGAATTTCTTATCAGTCTACTTTTAAGGAAGGCTTAATCACTTTTAACTTTCTATACAAATTACATGTGTTTTATACGTGCAGATTTCTTCAGGAGACCTATTCTCCAGGTACAATTTTTATGATCGTGTTTTTCCTTCGTGGTTTGGCGATACTCAACCTTCTCCATCTATTAAAGACCTAAAATACAGCAAATTGAATGCCACAACCAGAAATCTATTGGGGAAGAAACACGCCCCAACAAGTGCAGTAGGTGTAATTGAGTGCCAATTATTTTCAAGTCAGGTATATTATAATTGTTTTCTCCTTTATTGTTGTTTGCTATGTGAATTCAAAACATGAAGACTTTATCCTAATTCCCTTAATCCCTTTCTATCATCTCTCATTGATATGCTTCTTTCTCTTTTTATTCAAAAAAGCCAATGCACATAAGGTGTTCGATGTTATGCCTCTTTGAAAATTTAACAAACAAAGTAATATACATGTACAATCTCCTACAAGCCAACACTGTAAAACCCCACCCCTAAAAGTAATGTAATTTTATTTTGTTTTGGGTATTGTTTTCTTTTAAAAATTGTTTTTGGTGTTAAATTGTGTGCCACGTGGGGCCCATCCCCTTTTTGGTCTCCTTCACCCTCTCTTTCCCATCACTCTCCCTCACTTTCTCTATTTCTTCTTCTCCTTCACCGTGCCACACCCATAACCCATATCCTAAAATCATCATCATCAAATCACAATTTCAATATCACCATCGTCTTTATCTCGTCACTACGAACTCAACCATAGTCTTGGCATCTTGGAAGTCGAACCATGAAGTCCCGTACACGAGCTCCAACGCAGACCGCCCCTTTCGAGCCAAATTACGGCCAAAACACTGCAATTTGGCTAGCGTACAAGATATAAATCTCTTCGTCTCGTCGAGTACTACAACTTTCATTTTTGTTTCACCCAATTTCGTTAAGTATTGAAGAAGTTATACTCATTTGAATCTTACCCAGTTTCCAGCAACCTCGTGGCTTTTGAGGTATTTTTCGGCCAAACCACGGTGAGTTAGACGTCATGCAAGATACCATTCTCTTTGCCTCTTCGAGAACTATGACTTTCGTTTTTGAATCACTCGATTTCGTTAAGTTTTGACAAAGTTATGGCCGTTTAAATTTGGTATAGCTTTCCGGCTGAAATCTGGCCTTCTCCTTCCTTTGAATCCGGCAACCCAGAAATCCCAAGATCTTTGGGCCTTTCCTGCCGAGCCCAACCCAAAACCTATTTAAGTTTTTATTATTTATTTATTTATTTTTAATGTAAAAGGCCCTTGGGCCATTTTAAATCAGGGCCTTCGGCCCATCCTCCTTAAAACCCTTTACTTTAAGTTGTTTTTATTTTTATTTACTAAACTAAAGGCCCTTTGGGCCATTCCTTAAGTCTTAGACCCTTGGCCTTAAGCCCACTCCTTAAAACCCCAACCCATTTATTTTAAAGCCTAACCCATTTTCCCTTAAACCCATTTCTTGTTTAAAAAAAAAAAAAAAAAAAAAAAAAAAAACCAAAAGGCCTTTAGGCCATTTTCCTTTAGGGCCTTAGGCCCGTGCATCCTAAACCAACCCTTTAAACCCCATTACCCTAAACCCTTAACCATAATCTATCCAAACCCTTTATGGGAAATATTCTGTTAGGGAATATTCCATTAGAGAATATTCCGTCAGGGAATATTCTAGGAATATTCTATTGACTTTTACGAAATTTAAACGAGACCCTTCTTAGGGTAATTCGACGTTCTGAATCCATTTCCAACGTCCGTTTTCCCAAATTCAATTGCTATTATATAGTTTTATTAATTGGACTCTTTATGTGCTTAAGGGCAATTATAGTGTCGTTTCTGTCTTTGCTAGTTGCGTGACTTTTCGATGGCGGAGTACTGTGAGTGGACCCCTTCTAAAATTACATGATTTCATAGTTTAATTGTATAAATGAATAGCATGCCTTACGAGTTTATGAACTGAATTTTATGTTAAGCATGTTTATTGAAATGTTGTTTATCGTCTCGTTATTTTGTAAGGAATTAATTGTTGGCCTATATTGAGCTATGTTTTAATATATCATATTTTCTATAAAAACCATGAACTGGTAGACTATCTGATGGATGACGATATGATGCTAGCACATGTTTTCAAAACCCATCTTTATAGTATAGACGATGGATGACTTTATACTATGAAGTGGTTATATTTGAGAGGTGTAACTATTTGTGCGTACCTAGTGGACACTATGCCGCCTGGGGCGAGGATCTGGTGTTGGCAGTTAGACCGGGAGAAATAATCCCTAGCTACGGGCTAAGGGACACGGAGCAGGCATTGGGCCGGGAGTTGGTAATCTCTGGCTATGGGCGCAGAGACCACGATGCTGGCATAGGGCCGGGAGTTATATTTATTCAGTAATCTTACTAGCAGCACACCGCGCTTACGAGACAATTTGTGAGATGATTGATATTTTGGTTTCCGCGATATGTCTTCTGAGGTGTTTTTGGCATGCTAGGGTTTTCAGTAAACCTATCACTTATTATGCTAGTAGTTTTCTTTATATAAACCTGGGGGTTAGTACGTTGATAATTGTTTTATTATATATATATTTATATATATCAACTTGGTCCACTCATGTTTGTTTTGCGTCCCCTTCAGAACTTAGAATCGAGGCATACAATCCCGACGTCCAGGCATTTTCGCATCGGCATCTTCGAGTCCTCTCGGTGTAGGACCCACTCCTTTGCTAACTCAATTTGTATATTATTTCTTTTAGTGTTCTAGTTAGTTGTATGCTCTGAACACGTTCCTTAAATGCATATTCTTTATTCTTTTATATTTATAAGTCTTATTTATTCCCTTATTCTCAGCATTTGCACTCAATAAATGGCTTTCGTTACCCTCAGATGTCGGCCAGCACGTGCCTATCCTGGTATTCGAGGAATATCGGGATCGGGATGTGTCAAACACAGATTAGAAGCACAGTAGCCTTGTGTTCTCACTGCAGAATTTGATTCATCCACAATATCCTACAAGCCAACACGGATTAGAAGCACAGTAGCCAAAATGTAATATACCTGTACAACTAATTATGATATGCATATATGCTTAAGTTCCTAATATTATATGAAATAGTTAATTATGATATGTACAATTATAGTATGCTGAATCATTAAAGATTTAACTTATCTATGAAAATCAGCTGCATGGTTAAACACTGCAGAGGATCAAAATTCTTATTCTTAGAATTACTAAATTTACATAGTCATATCTTTTTCCGCCTATTACATTTATGTTTTTTTTTCCTTTGTTTTATAATTGTTTAGTTATGGAAGGAGCTATCATTGCGAAGTGCACTTTTGAGAGCAAGACCCTTTTAATTCCAGTATTTAATCATACTAATTTCAAGGATATTGCTGAACAAATTTGTTCCCGATTTGTGGGATTAAGTCTTGAAGTCATGGAGTTGAAGTACTCTCTAGGAGAACACCAATCTTGTTTACTGCAATCTGACATGGATGCGAGTGTAATGAAATTTTCATGTTGTGCTGAAAACATAGCATCTATTCCTGTCAGTGTTTCCATGGTTGAACCAGTTGAGCAACATGATCCCATTTCTTCCCTACATGATAAGCATATTTTGACATATGAAGGCTTAAACCCCTCAGATGATCGTGCAGATTTAGGGAAGTTTGCCACTCCTCATGGGAAGACATATTTGTCCCATGCTTGGAGAAACTACATTAGCCATGTTGGTCAAGTCCAGGTGGTGTCAAGGAGTTTAGACAAAGATTGATGAAGTATGCAATTGAAAAGGGTTTCAGGTATGTCTATGTAAGAAATGATAATGAACATGTCACTGCTGAATGCTTCAATAAAGATGATGAAGGTTATGTTTGGTGTGTGCATGCCATTTTGAATCATCCTAGCAAGTTATTCTACATTAAAAGTCTGAATAATGTACATACATGTAAAGCTAGGTTTCGTGATAAAAAAAAGCATCAAGATAGGTTCCAAAATTGTGGTGTCGGTCCTTGTTGACGAGATTTGAACCAATCCAATTGTAAGACCAATCGATGTTGTAAGACCAGTCCATGGTGATGATATACAGTCATACAGACAACTATTATGGTATGCAAAAGCAATGCTAGCAACCAACCCAAGCTCCCATGTCCAGCTTGAATATAATGATAGTTCATGTCGGTCCGAGCGTTTATTCATTTCATATAATTCTAGTATTGAAAGGTTCAAATTATGCAGACCTTTCTTGTGCCTCGATGGAACTTTTATAAAAAAACAAGTATAAAGTCATTTGTTGGTAGCCATTGGGAAAAATGGTAATCAAGGTATGATTTAGACATCTACTTATTATAAGCTAATAATTTTTTTCCACATTGATAGGTAGTTTAAATGTTTATCCATACTGTTGACAAAATTGATCATTTTGTTAATTTTGCTCCATGTTAGGTAGTTTAATAGGGTCCCAAACAGTAATATATGAGAAAGTATTGTTTTATAACTTTATACATGTTGTGTCCATCCTTTATTATAACTTGTTCTTATGTATTCATTCTTAACAAATTTTTCTCTAACATGTTCTTCTTCCTTAACACATGGCTCAGGGTTTTTCCCGCTAGCTTTTGGCATTGTGGACTCTGAAAATGAAAACAATTGGACATGGTTTCTGGAAAATTTAGTAGAGATATTGCTTCCCCAAGGTCGTACAGTTACATTCATATCAGACCGCAATAGAGGTTTACTTGAAGCTGTTTCCAGCGTTTTTCCAGAAGCACCACATGCATTCTGCATGTTTCATTTGAAATTGAATATACAAAGTAAATATCCAAAGCAGATGGGTTCTGGTTATGGTAAAGTCATTGCTAACCTGTTCCAAAAATGTTGTTATGCTCCATCCCAACTTGTGTTCGATCAGGAAATGAAAACTCTCATCAAGGATGGTGGTACAATAATTCAGAAATTTTTGCAAAACACACCCAAAGAAAACTGGTCCAATGCCTACTTCAGGGGAAAAAAATATGGTGAGATGTGCTCTAATATTGCACAATCTTTCAATTCTTGGATTTTGGATGAACGCAAGATGCCAACTTACCAAATGATTGATAACATACGTGTGAAGTTGATGGAGATGAGTTCTGATAGGCAACGTGAAGCCAAAAGATGGACCTCACCAATATGCCCAACAATGGATGACAAAATGATGAAAATGGTTGAAGTTGGAAGACATTGGAATGTGTGTCGTTCAAGTGAACATATTTTTGAAGTCAGAGATGAGTATTCTGTCATGGTGGACTTACAAAGTCATACTTGTTCTTGTTATCAATGGCAAATTAAAGGGTTCCCTTGTGCACATGTTTTGGCTGCTATTTTGAAAGATGGAGGTAACCCATATGATTATGTCGAAGATTATTTCACTACAAATTTCTTTAAGTCTTCGATATTTTAGTTTACTCATATTCTTCTTTTTTCCATTATCTACTTACATGTCATATGGCTTATGCAATCTGCGAAGACTAAATATTTATTATGATATCATTACTAAACCTTCCAAATCAAACCTATATGTAACAAGCAACCATAAGATGTTAAATTTTATCCTACCTATCAATTTGGCTTACAATATAAACTACCTATCCTTGTAGAATATGATTTTTCAATTCACAATTAGTTGTATAGGTATATTACTTTTTGGGACGGTTTTAAACTACCTAACATGTAGGAAAATTACCGACAACCATTTTTATCAACACTTCGAAAGTACATATCCTTGTACAATTTGAAAGTACACTAGACGAACTATCTCCAGATAATGACAACATAACATTATCTGAGATTACAAACAAATCTTATTGTGCAATCAATAAAGGAAAACATGAAGAATATCCCCTTTCAATTGAAATTAAAAAACAGATATGACAAAGCATATCTCAGTTCACATAACATCCAAACTTATCTAGCAAAAAATGAATTTGGATGGATTGGAGTCCCATCATTTATTAAATTGAAACACTTAAATGAAACAAAAACTCAAATTTCGCATAACATCTTTATCTTACTCTTCCTTTTCCCAGCTACCACCACCCTCATTTATGAATCTACAAAGGACATGTGCTCTCATATTCTTCATTGCCTCTGCCGAAAAGACAACTCCACAGTCATAACTGTTTAACAAAAAAAAAAGGGGTAGTGAACTTAAATATTACATTCTATCACCAAGAAACCAACAAATAGGCATAATATAGATGAAATTAACACTTACATGTTAGGAAATTGTTGTAAGCATGATATGTTTGCTTTCAGTGGATACTCAACATTAGTTTGCCTCAGCCACATGGAAATTCTCTATCATCATGGCTAAACGTGTACAACAATGTATGTACCTTATCACCTTTCATGATATGTTTGCAAATAGAGTTCTCATTGAGCTTTCTTGAAATACTATCTTTCATGTGCTTAAAGTAGTTAGAAATTTTCACATGCTACAAAAAAAATAAAAAAATAAAAAAAGGACACATTACAAAGTTAGTGTGTGAAATAAAATTCGAAGGATAAGAGGTATACTGCATAGTTATCAACTTACCAATTTTTTAGCCTCTTCGAAATAAGGATCCACATACATATTCAACTTGGTTTATAATGTGTTGTAATGTTCCCATCATACACTTTGTTTGTTGAACACAAGCAAAGTACAATGCATTCCTTTGAAATGGTTAATCAGAAAGAAAACATAGTCGTTCTCCCGCACCTTCTTCAATAGAAGTTCAAGATAAATATATATTCTCACTGCAAAATTCAATTCATCCACAATATCCTACAAGCCAACACGGATTAGAAGCACAGTAGCCAAAAAGTAATATACCTGTACAACTAATTATGATGTAAAAATCATATTCTACAAGGGCAGGTAGAAGATTCTCTAGATTAATGCTAGAAGATCATAATAAAAATGGATTACTGTGTTACAGGGGCAGGTTAGTTTATAATTACCACATATACTAATAAAAATGGATTAGAAAAAAATAATAAAAATCAACATTTGATAATTACACTACTCATCACTAAATAGCATTGGACGGTATTAAACTAGCTAGAATGGAGGAAAATTAACCGCAATGTTTGAAGAACTAAAATTTAGGCACCCATGCAAATATCGGCATAGATCCATATTTTAGCTGATCTTTTGGAATCCCAATTTGGTCGTTATTCAAAATGTCGAAAAAAGAATCAACTACCTACAGAAAGAACCAAAACATCTTATGAATCATTTGTAAACCTCTCATTCAAATATAATTGTATTCATTGCTATCTAAGTCAAATAATTATAAAAATTACAAATACCTGTCGACTAACACCTCCCTCATTCAAGAGTGCGAGGATATCATCACGGATCACTGCACTATGCTCTCTTTTCCACATTGAAACCCTATATATATATAGTTCAAACAACATAATCAACAACTTGATAACTAACAGGTAAAACAATGTAAAAATAAGGATGAAAAATTATACACTTCCTATCATCATTCAAATCTAGAAATTGTTTCAACTTCTCTGCGTACGGTATTGGAAGACACTTGCCCACTCGTAGCCTACGCACAACTATTGTCTTCACTGGTGCCATTATTTTTGTGTTCCCATATTCATGCATTTGAATTGCCCGTGAACCAACACAATTTTTATCCATATGAACTACCATTTTTTTATTAACACAAGCATCATACTTGTAATCTGGCATCAACAAAGGCTTCCTTTGTTTTTATTTCACCCGCAAAATCATTGAGTTTTGTTATGGAGATTTGTCTTTCACTATGTAATTTTCTTTACATTTCAGCTCCTCCTTCATATTCTCGTTTTCAATAGTAAGCTTCATAATTTTTGACCGGGAGTCCTCCACCAAAAGACTCATCTCTTGTAATTTTCTCTCCAAGTCATTAAGGTCCGCCTTACTGTTGGAAGGCTCTCCCAAGTTGTTTTCCATAAATTCTGATGGCAGTATATCAAACATTGGGAGAAATTCTTCATCTGACACTTTGTGAGGCTCCACATTTATCCCCCCACCATGTGAATGCAGTTGTATGATTTTCTTCTTTGTTTCAGGTGTTTTTGGATTGCCCCCACCTATATGTACAACTTCTTGTAACATAAACACACCATGTTTAATTTTATTAAAGTACATAAGACTTTAGTTACATAATCTGTTCAAAAAATAACATACCTACTCCAACATGGGAAATCCAAAAATGAACCAACTCATAGTCTAGCTCACTCATGGATTAGATTAAAATGGGAAATCCAAAAATGAGCCAGCACATATTAGAATAGAAGCACAGTAGCCAAAAAATAGTATACTTGCACAACTAATTATGATGTAAAAATCACATTCTACAACTAATTATCATGTAAAAGTCATATTCTTCAATGGTAGGTAGTTTATATTTTTAAACCAAATGGATGTGTTGGATAAACATACCTCCAACTCATGGATCTTCATAATTTCCATCTTTGCATACAATTCCGACAAATTTCACTTAACAACCTTAAGAGGCATATTTTCCCTTCCTCTGATTAGATTGATCAAATGAGTATACGCTCACAAAATCAGAACTGCATTAGCAAGATATTAATATGTTATTTCATTTGAACACAGATAGAATAAAATGAAATAAAATGTAGATTAACATACCAATAATCCAATTACAAAACCAGTTACACTTTTGTAACGTTCTCCCATATTATCAATTGTGCCCAACAACCAATTCTTTACTGCCACAGCCCACGCATAATCCTTCATGTTGGTAATATCCTCAACGTACCCAACCATGTACAAACTAGTATTATTTCCACTCGTATTGAAAAACAGTGTCAAGCAAAAATATAAACAAACATGTCGCACAAAATCACCCTCATGCACGCTACCATGCAACTTAACCACTCTCAAAATCATTTCTTCCAATATCTTCTTACTTATATCTTTGACTTCTGCAAGACATCTCTCATAAAAACCTGTAAACGCATTTTTTCTTTTCCTACTATTCAGGTTGATCTCTTCCCCTTCATCAGGCAACCCGAAATTTCAGCTATATCTTTGGCAGTTATTGTTGCAGTTATTCCACCAAACACAAATGTTTTTTGTACAGGGTCGTAGCACTTCAATATAGACACAATATTCGCATCACATTTCCTGCAAACACCATCAATGATCAAATTCTCATGGTACGCTTTGAACAATCTCCCAAACGGTGTACGATTCATTAACTCAAGATGCGCATTTGTCACACTAAGTCTCATTTCTTCCATAATGCGACAAAACTTCAAAAGGTTAGACCTATACTCTAGGCTTTTTTTTTTTTTTTTCTCTCCATGCAAAACATCTTTGGCTACAAGTAATACAAAGTCTGCTATAAGCATGATTATTCCAAAACATACTAAATAACGCCCAAATGATAACATATCAAGACAAACTACATATCATATTTATATAAGCAATGTTAAAAAGAGACTAATTTAACAATATGAACTAATTATTCTAAAAGTAACTCTAAAAAATAAACTACGTATCAATTTAAACTACCAATGATTAAAGTTCCAAATAATTGGTAATTTAAATTGATAAAATTAAACCTTCCAAACTTAAACAAATCATTACTAAACCTTCCAAATCAAACCTATATGTAACAAGCAGCCATAAGATGTTAAATTTTATCCTACCTATCAATTTGGCTTACAATATAAACTACCTATCCTTGTAGAATATGAAAGATGAACTATAGTACCTGTAATCTAAGTATCAAATACCACAAAAGTAAAAGGCCAAAGCAGCATACCAAAATACTAGAGAAACAAATTCAACCAATCATCATCCCCCATTTCACATGCATAAGCAGCACCCTGCAAAAATTAGAGCAAAGATACGGTAGCACCTATTATCAAATACTGGTATTGAAATCGAGGGAGTGTAATACCTATTATCCAAGTAACGAACACTGCAAAAACAAAGCCCAAATCACCAAACCAAAATATTTGAAAAAAAAAAAAAAAACTAGATTACCATGTATGAAGCTGAAATCTTCTGAGAAGATACAATACTTGTTCTCCGGGTATACCAGAAACCCGAACCAGATATTCGCCTATTTTGTTTTCATCATATACTGGGAGAAAATTTATAACTTTCATAGCTTCATACGGATTTAGGATTCAAAAAAGGGTTTCCGCTAGATACGGACGCAAACCAATTTGAAAGATAGGAGGATAAGGTTTTGAATAAAGGGGTCTTTTGATCTACAAGAGACCTAATAAACGGGGTCTTTTGAATAAACAATGAGATTAATATGCAAGAGACCTAATAAACCATCTAATGGCAATTGTTGTAATTTTGTTGGTAAATTATGTGCATTTTGATTGCTAACATGGATGATTGTTGTACTTACTAGCCCTCACTTATGCTTATGTAATATAAGTGGATTTCATTCAAAACAGGCTTATAAAATTGGACCCATATCAAAAGATCCTAAAAAATTATACCAAGACAAACTTAAGAGCATCATCAAGTCTATTGGTTGAGCACAAAAGAAAACTCCAAACCATGCAATGACTCTAGCTCATATAAAATCGAAAAATTCAAGAATCAAAAGCCTGTTAATAACGTGTTATGAATAAAGTATAGAAAAATGTACAGAAGAAGAGAGATTGGGAGGGGAGGAGAAATTAAAGTGTCTCATTCATCTTATTAGATGACCTATATATAGGCTTAGGATTTTTCATATTTACAACAATGAGAACTAAACTATTAACATATTACATAGAGCCCAGAATGTGGACATCCACCTTTCAAACAGGCCAGATCAGGTCTGGTTTAATTTAAAACTCATCCCACCCCGTCCTGTTTTATTTTTAGATGAGTCCGATCTCCCCAAGAATTGGGTTCGAACCCACCCTTGCCAACCCCTAAGGATTCGTGCCACGGATGATATAAGTGATTCTTGCGTTGCCTGTCCCATCATCTTTAATGCTAATGGAATGCCCCCACATTTTTCTTTGACTTCCAATTTCAGATCTTCCAAGTTTGAGGGACTGGATGGAATCCGATTATTCTTAACAGCGTCCTTGAATATCGCCCAGAAGCTTTCATTATTTGTCAGATCTTCCAAGTTTGAGGGTTTGGATGGAGTCCGATTATTCTCAACAGCGTCCTTGAATATCGCCCATAAGCCTTCATCATCTGTCACATCTTCCGAGTTTGAGGGACTGGATGGAATCCGATTATTCTCAACAATGTCCTTGAATAGCGCCCAGAAGCTTTCATTGTCTGTCAGACCTTCCAAATTTAAGGGACTGGACGGAATCCGTTTATCCTCAACTGCGTCTTTGAATATCGCCCAGCAGCTTTCATGATCCGAAAGGGGCAGAAGGTGATGTATATTTTCCTTCCCGACCATCATTTTTGTTATATCTTCATTCTGACTTGTGACTATGACTCTTCCCCCATGCCCTTTTGGGAGTCCAAATGCAAGGCCGTCATCCCATTCCTTATCACGAGTCAAACACGAATCCAGCTGTCCACACCATGAGTCCGTCTCCCTGGCATGATCAAGCACAATCAGATACCTCTTGCCCAATAATTGCAGGCGAAGAGCATACAGCAGTCCCCCGAGGCCATGCTTCTCACAAACGGACTTGACCATCTCCTTTCCAACTCCGAGGTGCATCAACATTCTTTTGACAATTACTATTTTCGGAGCCTCATTGTCGTTGTCATCCGGGTGTCTGGCCATGCACACCCAGATCCTCGGAAGGAATGTGTTTTTCACTTCTTGTTCGTTGAATAAGAGCTGGCAAAGTGTTGTTTTTCCTATACCTTCCCTACCAACAATGCCTACTGCCCTGAACCGATCATCAGTTCCTTGCTGTAAAAGCAACTTCTTCATCAAAATCACATCATCATCAAATCCATAAACCTTGGATGCATCCACTGACCGAGTAGTCCACCTCGAAAGCTCTCCACCCGTTGAGCTTGCTTGACCATTATTAGGTTGTGGATCGGTATTTCCATTATCCCTTATAAACTTGAGCTCCCTCCTGATCTTGTTTAAATCCCTTCTGATTCTGTTTATGGTGAGTAGCTCCTTGGGAGAGTTGAAACCGTGTTTTCTCGAAAGCATCTGGCACTCAGTCAAAACATTGTTGAGGTGGTAAAGCTTGTCTCTGATGGATGAATCATGCAAGGATGAGCTGAAAATGCCTTCAAGCAAAGATTTTATTTCTTGAAATTGGCTGTACCCTGGAATCTTAGAGATACTTTTGTCTTTCCCATCAAGTCCATTCTGGAACTTATCCATTAGAGACTGTTCAATTTCTTGGGCCATAGAAGCAGGCTATGCAACTTCTTATCACTCGAAATTGTAACGACAACTGGCAAAATAAATAATTTAGAAATTTATGCATCTGGGTTTTATGTTACATGAGTAATGCAGACAGTTTGAGAACACAATACATGAAACCAAAGAAGAAAGAGAAATACTTGATGTGTTGGGTGGATTCGAAACTGAAAGTCCAAAACACGAACAAGCTGTGGAGACTGCAGAGAAAGGAGGACTAACGAGTTTATGAGTCTCTTCACCTCAGTACTGTTAACATTTTCCAAATCAAACTTTACTTAAGTGTCATAAGAAATCTCATATGACAACAAAGAACGGAACAGAGAAGTAAATAAAAATAAACCCAATTATTTAGGGAACATGATAGCCCAGAAAAAAGGTATGAAATGGAAGGCATCATCTAAATAGTTGTACAGGTAAATCACCTTTGGCATTTGTTTGGCAAGATTATGTAAGCACCTTTGGCAGCCTTGTCACTCACTTATCTGCGTTGCCAAGTAATTCCTCTCTTTAGAACCGGAAAAAAAATATTGCATTATTCCTGTTCCACAGGGCCAGAAGAAAAGTTGTCAGCAGTATCGAATCGTAAGGGCTGCTAAAATTTACATCTTCAAATCCAATCTCTGCTGATCTGCATCAATTCTGCAGAAGAAAAACAGAGATAAAGGCCTTAGTGTACAAGTATATACACTACAGAGAACATGGAAAATGTAGGAAACAACAGTAACTGAAATATGAATTGTTCAATCCCTCTATTCTTAAAGCCAATTAGTTTTAGTTCAACCGTTCCGCGGATCAAAATTGAAACCCTGGTTCCCATTTCTTTTTGAGTTGGACTATAAAATATCAAGTCCAAAGAAGTCTGAAACATTGTCCACTCTTTCTAGTGCATATTTGAAACTCAAAGTGAAACACGAACCAAGTAGTGCATAAGAATAAGGAATCTGCAATTTCCTGTTCGGTTTTTTAATGTCCAAAAGGATGAGGCAACAACGGATTGTTTATTCACTACATGACAAATGTCTAATGGTTGTTTAAGGTCTAAAATTAAGAGATTAACAAGGCCCAGCCATGAGAAAATCTTCAGTAGGGCTTCCGTGCCCCAACACGTGTCCGCCCAAGGCACACAAAAGGGACCGGAGGACAGTCCCTGTTCAAGAATTTCTCTTCTCCCAGACAAGACGCCAAGTATAAAACTTTAGAAAAGAGGAGGAATCCAAAATATTTGGATTTTACGCCAAATAATTCCAAAATTGTAACTAAAGAAAAGGAAAAGGAAAAAGGGGAAAAAAATTCCAAAATTGCAACTAAAGAAAAGGAAAAAGGGAAAAGAAGAAGAAGAAGAAAACCAACTCGAGGGGGTTAACCAAAGTTCTTTTTTTTTTTTTGGAAGACTTAACCAAAGTTCTTTGTTCAGAATAAATAGCGATACTGGGAACAGGATTAAACATTTAAGCAAAAACCAACTGGAGGGGTTAACCAAAGTTATTTGTTCAGAAGAAATAGCGATACTAAAAACAACATTAAACATTAAAGCAAGCTGGTCTCCTTGGCGTTGTCCTGCATAGCTTGGTTTTCAACTCTCAGACTTGCAGGTTCAACTCCACCATCAGGTTTTTGCTCTTTCTAACTTTCTTCATTATTATGTGCACGATTATTTCTTTTTATTTGGTTAAAATTGAAGTGTTAATTTGGTGCTTGTGGCTGTCATTATCTCTTCTCTACTAATTAATAAAACACTCATTGTCAACTAAAATTCTATAAAATTATCAGTTTAACCTTCTAATTAAAACAAAACATGAATAAGAAATAATGTAATTTCACACAACCAAATTTTGCTTTTTTTTCTTTTCAAAACCTTACCTACATGTAATCCTAACATATATCTAATTTAAAAAAATAAAAAATAAAAAAAATTCTCACTCCCACATTCTCTATCACTCTCTTCCTCTCTCCTTCTATTTCAAAAACAAAAATAAAAAAAATTTCTCGCACACTTTGTGTATGCCCATATGCTAGTTTTGAGTGTGAGAGCTTTTTATTAGGTGATAAAAAGACAATTAAGCTATACTGTTTTCTTGTGTAAATTTGCTTAATTTTTGTATTAATTTCTTAGAGATTTGTAGTATCATGATGCGGTTGAACAGAGATTGGTTAAGAAGAACAAAACAAAAATTTATATCGTCGAATTAAACCTCAACAATTAGTACAAATTAATTGAAAACATTTAAATTTGGTCTACAATTAAGAATACATTTATACCACCTAACAATTCTTTTCGGTGTGCGTTTGAGATTCATTTAAAAAAACGAGGATAAATAAAATACAAAACCATAAACACTAAAATAAGGAAATGTTAGGTTCTCATCCCTCTGTTTTATATTTCATTGATTAAAATCTTATTTCTTTGTAATATTTTATCAAGGTCCTTAGGTTTTAATGAATGTCATTATTTCAATAATAAAATATTTACATATTAGCATAATTAAATTAAATTTCTAAAATATATTAATTTAGTATTAGAAACGTTGCATTTGTACTCTTATTAATTTAGTATAAGAAATTTCTAAAATATGAACCCAATTTTTTAATGTAAAATCTATAAATATACCCCTTTTTCAACCTCAAATGTACCCTTATTTTAAAAATATAAAATAAAACATTTTATTTTGTGAAAAACTAAAAAAATCTGATAACTGTAAGACGAATTATCAATCTTTGTAAGATTATAGGGAGAAATTAATATTAAAATATAATATTTTGTCTTTCAGTTAAAGTATTCAAATTAATAAAATTTTATTTTAAGATTTTGGTATAATAAAATTTCAATCAAAATAATGTATCCATATGAATTTTTGGGTACATTACTATATAGCTTATTTACAATTTTTTAACACTATGGATACATTCTTTTGCTATTTATGATTTCATATTATTACATTGTTTTTATTCATTTATTCAATAAAAAATTTTGAAATTTTTTACTGTAGCCATTTCATATTATTACATTGTAATATAATGAGGGAGTTTAAATCTAGGATTTATATGCCACATATATATACACACACAATATGGGAATATAAATTTCATAAACGTCAAACTTATAGAAATATACATATTAATATTGATATTATGAGGTTGTCAAAGTCAAGGGACTTTGATGAAAAATTGAATACAATTAAAGTTTTAATTAAAGAGTATTCGTGATTAGGGACCAAATCCAAAGTCTCCCCTAAAATACCAAGACCGGTTGCAACCGACCCAAGCATCAAAAGATTAAGTAGTCGAGCGGTCGTGTGACTTGAGCTAGGTGACATTGCTTCTGCTTTAGAAGAAGATATAAATTTCTTTTTACAACGTAATGGCGCGTTTTCAAATTACAGTATCACTCTCCAGCTTCAGTTACTAGGACAGCTTGACGGTGGTGGCCATTTCCATTGCAGTGTACTGCCGTGGTGTGCGAGGCTATCTCCTCCATTGACAAAGCCACCGTAAATATATTTCTTCAAAGGTTTTTACGTAAGTTCATTCACATAGACTTCAGGCACATGTTTCCTACCAAATTTCATATTATGGATTGTATTCAACAAGAATTAATTCGATATGCCGAAAACTGGCTCATGTGTTGTTTTTCTGTTACTCTCTTTATAGCGATATTCTAAAATTCAGGACAACTTTGTTATCATCATATTGTAGTTTGAGCTCTCTAGATCAAGAAAGGATACTCCGTTTATTTCAAATATAAAATGGTTCTATTTTTCGGATCCACAATTCTTTAAATTTCGATACAAAGGGTGAATAAATTGCTGAGTTATCAAAGAACTTGTGTGGCTTTGTACATATTTGTAATTTTGTATAAGCTCCCTTTGAAATCTGAATTCTGAACCATATAATTCAGTTTAATCAAGCTTTAATATTCACCCGAAACCTTGCAATTCCATGACATATAATAGTTGAACAAAAAAATTTCTTTGTTTTTTAATTGCTGATTCGTGGTTTACCATCTACCATCTAGCAAGCTAACGACTGACTCAATTCAATACAGGCTGCCCCAAAACTGCAAACCTGGTATCATTCCAATTTAGCTACCTCGGGTGAGGGGAAAACGGAGTTTCTTTAACTTTTCAAGGAAGTATTTGCGTTTGCTTGCACTGAAGGATTAGGTATGTGAACATCTGATTGTACTTGGTTTAGTTTTTCCTTTGTGCTGATAACTCTGCTATTTTACTTTCTTCTGAGACTTATTTTGTTTAATTTTTGGAGTCAGAAATGGCTTTAGGTATGAAGGAATGGATAGAAAAGATACTGGAGCCGCTGAAGAACGATGGTGTAACAACAATCGTTCTTGATGGTATGCGTGGAGCATGGAAAACGTGGACGGCAAGAGAGATAAGCATGAAGAGAGACTTAATCCATGACATTCTATGGGTGTATCTGAATAAACAATATGACAGCAGCTCTCTACTTAAGAACATTGCCGGCCAGCTATCTCTAATCTCTATTCCTGAGGAATATGATGACGATGACGTCAAGGTGGAGGAGGAGAACATGAGGTTGGAATTGAAACAGAGAATAGCCATCAAACTTAAAGGATTGATATCCGCAGCACATAAAGAAGACAAATATTTTCTACTAATCCTGGATGATGTTCCTTACGAGCGGTCTGTGAAAGACATTATCTCAGAACTGAAGACGCTGCCGGGTTTGAATGATATGAGTTCTTTTAAGGTTTTAATAACTAGAGATGATGGTGACAAAAAGCGCAACGCAGAGGAGAAGCGCACCACAGAGGAGGAGCACGGAGCAATTCAGACCATCCACACAAACGTAGATCAATTGTCTACAGAAGAGTCAAAGCTTTTATTGAAAGAAAATATCAAGAAAGTATTTTCCGACTCTCCGGGCTTTGAAATGTTATCCAAGGTGATTGTGGAGATGAGAAAGTCCATGCCTAGTGAAATCATCGCAATGGCAAAAGCATTCAACTCTGTTGAACATATTGGTTCTGGGGTTTGGTCATTGGAAAGTGTTTCGGAAGCAGCAGCTGATGATGAGAGAGCTGCAATAAATCTGCTACATCGTGCTTGGTATGACACGTTGCCAAGCGGTGTTCTGGCAGACTGTTTTTGGCATAGCATGCAATTTTTCAGCAATAATGTCTGTCTGCATTACAAAGAGTTGATCACTCATTGGATAATGGAAGGGTATGTCGGATGCATTGATCATATCGAGAAAGCCTATGAGCAAGGACATTGCATTCTGATGGAGCTTATAGATCGTGGCATGCTAAGACGCCAGGAGAATAATATCATGGGAGGAATCTTTTCAAGTATAGCTGATCACCGCCGTCGTGGGTTTACTGGGACTGCAAGCCTGGGATTGGTTAATGTGTTTGCAAATTCCAAGTGGGAAGGTCTTGGGAGGCTCACACACACTGATGGTATGATAAAATCGCCGTGCAGTGCTAAAACCTGGGGAAAAGTCTCTACACTTGTGATGGATGGACGCTGCCTCAGTAGAGAAGTCCCTGAAAAATATTTTCAACCAATGCAGGAGCTCCGGATATTAACTGTATTGAATCCCAGGTTCAGATCTCTACCCTTGTCCTTGACAAGCTTAAAGAACCTTTCTATTCTTGTGCTCAGATGCTGTGATCTCTTGGAGAAAATTGATCACCTCCGAGAATTTAAAAACTTAAATGTTCTTGAGATATCTGGTGCTACCTGCTTGGAGAAAATCGATGATGATCTTTTCACAGACATGCCTCACCTTCGAAGCCTTAACCTTTCTGGTGCCAATATCAAATCACTACCTGGTTCTCTCTTTCAAAAAACTGAACTACGGTGGCTCATCCTTAGAGGTTGTTCTCAATTGACAGAGCTTCCAAGCTTGAAATCGTTTGAAAACCTCCAGGTGCTTGATCTTCATGGTGCTACATCTTTCAAAAAGTTTCAAGACAAAACCTTTGCTCCGCTTCAGAAACTTCAGTTAATTGATCTTTCCAATTCCCAAATTAGTCGCCTACCTTTTCTTCACAATCTTGGTGATCTCACTCGGCTTCTATTAGCTGGTTGCAGAAGCTTAAAAAGACTGCCCATCTTGAACACACTAACTCAGCTTCAAATTCTTGATCTTTCGGGTGCTACAAGTTTACAAGAAATACAAAAAGAACCATTGGATGGCCTTAAAGTCCTTGATTTATCTCAGACTCAAATTAGTTGTCTGCCTTCAAGTGTTAGCAACCTTTCTGATCTTGTCTTAAGAGATTGTTCTCATCTTGTAAAACTGCCCCCCATAGGAGCAACTAAAGAGCTTGAACAGCTTGACCTTTCCGGCTCAAGAAATCTGGCTGAAATTGAAGACAAATCCTTACAACATATGAGGTTCCTTCGAGTTCTCAACTTTTCGAAAGCCAAAGTAAAAGAATTACCATCTTTGTCCAACCTAGTTAACCTTCGCCAACTCCTGTTAATGGACTGTACGGTTCTAGAGAAACTGCCTGCGATGGAGGGCCTTCTCAGACTCCAGGTTCTCAATCTTTCTGGTTGTGTGGCATTGGTTGATTTGCCCCACCTGAATGCCCTTGAAAAATTAGAGATTCTTGATGTTTCAGGTTGTACGGCATTGAAAGGAATACATGAAAAGTCCTTTGAAAATATGTCATGTATTCGTACACTCAACCTCTCAGACTCTAAAATTGAGTTTCTACCGTCCCTTCCCAAAGCCAGAATCTTCTGTCATCTCATACTCAGAAATTGCAGCAACCTAAAAAAGCTCCCTCCTCTTGAACATCTGTCAAAACTTGAGGAACTTGATCTATGCGGTGCCATTTCTTTAGTTGACTTTGAAGCTGGGTTCTTGGAGCATATGGATGACCTTAGAATTCTCAACCTAACAGGAATCCCACTTACAATGCTACCGTCCATGTCCAGACTCACCAACCTCAGACAACTCGCACTAAAAGGTTGTTCGTCGATGGAAACAGTGCAAAACCTAGAAGCACTAACACTACTTGAGATTCTTGATCTTTCTGGAACAGCAATTGGGAGTCTGCCACCTCTAAACACTTTTAGCAACCTCGTCCAACTCTTGCTGAAAGATTGTTCACGGATAGAAGAGTTGCTGCTGCTAGGATCACTTAGTCGTCTGGAGGTTCTGGATCTTTCAGGAACCAGAATGAAAAAATTTCCCTATGAGATATCTGAATTGACTAATTTAAAGCACCTTTATCTTCCAGACGTGAGGAGTATGCATGATCTGGATGTTGGAAAGATAAAGCGTATACCACAAGAGGTCAACTGGGATCAATGTGGTATCTTTGAGCATGCTGATATCTTTTGTGACAATGACAAACCTTCCATATCTGTAAGTGGAACGGAAATTTTTCAGTTTTTGGACAAAAATCCCAAGGTGTGGGAAACAAAGTTCAAAAAATTTTGTTTCTTTGTAACCAAGAAGCAAGGTGAAGATGGAGATATCATCTTCTGCAAAGATGAAATTGTCAAAGATGTGTACTCAAGCACCAGACACTTGTGTTTTCCTGAAGAGCATGATCGGTCTTTGGAAATCCATGGATCATATGGTCTTCTTCCTTTCATGTCATGTTCCTCTTCAAAATGTCCTCAATTTCAAAACTGCATTCCTCAAGCATTCCGACTGCATATCTTTGGTTGACAATGACATTATAAGTTGCCTATCTGATTTAGGTGCTGACGTTGTGGAGGTAATGAAGGGCTGTTGGATAGAGAGATGCAGTAAAATTGAGAGCATTCTCTGTGGAGAAGAGGCAAATGTCAGACTGGGGAGAAGTTTAGAGATTCTATGGGTTTCGAACCTTCCGAAGTTGAGAAGTCTATACAATGGGAATGCGGAACCAGAGTGCTTTAAGAATCTTAAACAGTTGTTTCTAGATTGTTGTCCAATGATTGTGAATGTCTTTCCCTCATCCCAGCTTCCAGAAAACCTCGGAATTCTCCATGTGCAATTTTGTGATAGATTGCAAACTTTGGTTGAATGTGATACACCATCTAAGTATACATTCAAAAAGTTAAGGACACTGTATCTGTTGGAACTGCCAAAGTTGACGAGCATTGGGATTGAATTGCCAGATCAAGTGGATGTCGAAGCTATGGAATGCCCTAAGTTTACGAAGGACCCTCCTGCTATGGTCGACTAGGTGATAAGCTCATATTTATATATATTTTACATCAAATTCACTTGTCTTTTCTTAGTTAGTTCCTTATATTTTTGAGCTATTTACTTTGTTTTTGTGTTTTGTATGATATGTCAAGCAAAGAAAGGAAAAATAGCACAAGTGGGATTTTAAGTAACAAATTCGTCAAAATTGTCTGTGCAGATCAGCTGACTTTGGAAGCAAGCTGTGAACATCTCTGAACGAATTAGAAAATGGGCGATATTTGGTTGGAAAGCCCTGGAAGTCTTCTTTCTCATGGTCTTTACAGCTTGTGATTCGGAGTTTTCTACAAGAAGTTATGACAGAATTAAAAGGAGCTGTTCAGTTACAAAAAAGTCTCATAGGATACTTATTCATAATGTACTTTCCCTTCAATTAAGGGAGTTTGCTTTTCTTGTTATTGTAAATAGATAAGGAGTGTTTTTAAGGAGTGATTCAAGGAGAGTGTTTTATGGATTGATTCAAGGAGAGTGTTTTAAGGAGTGATTCAAGGAGAGTGTTTTATGGATTGATTCAAGGAGAGTGTTTTAAGGAGTGATTCAAGGAGAGTGTTTTAAGGAGAGTGTTTTAAGGAGTGTTTCAAGGAGTGATTCAAGGAGTGATGTTTCTTCACTCTCCTCTCTTTTCTTTTCTCTCCTATATAAGTCTTAGGAGAAGAAGGGAAAAAAGACTCAACATGAAAATAGGAGAGACAACATCAAAGAGAGGAGAGGAGGAGGAGTCTTCAACCTTGAGCCGTTTCTAGGTTCTATCCTTCTTAACTTTTTATGTTTAATTTAGATTGTTTTTCAGTTATGATGAACACGTGTAACCAAATTTTTAGTAGTTAGGGGTTGTTTTGAAGCCCCTAATATCATTGCAAGTTTGTTATGACATTTCGTTGGAATTATTTTTATGAATGGATGAAATTGGTTCACTACTTATGTCATTGATGAATTCTTTATATGTTTTCTATGGATGCATACTTAGTAAACATTTCTAGGATTATAAAACTATGAATATATGTGTATCTACCCTTGTCGAATGAGGACCTACATATGTTATAGAGTAGTACTTGTTAATTGCGATTAACATGTGAACCAATTTCTGGGATAAGTAAGACAACGCTAGTACTTACGATGCATTGTGATTACTCAAACTCTTTTCGTTCTTAATGATTTCTACTTGTTAAATTTTTACTTGTTAAATCTATGAACACTCTAGATTGCATGCTAGGGACTAAGTTAAGTTGAAAACGTCATTCTCTTAACATACTACATAAGAAAGAGTAATAGGTTGAGTTCTAACATTGAGCCAACTTGAGCATCTTCATCCAGAAATAAAAGGAATTTGAATGAAATATAACATGCTTGCATGATTATTTGGTGGTGGATAGCAATTCCCATAACTCGTTTTTCTTAATTTGTGAACTACTTAAAATCTGTTTCTGTCCTGTTTTTGTGCAATTTAATTTTAATAGCAAATCAACTCCAAAAATATCAAACTTTTGTGTCAGTGTAGCTTTGTGTGTCTAGTGTCTGCATATAAAATTTCGTAGACTTTAAATAAGTGTAAGTCGGTCTAATAATTATTTAACGGTGGCTGGTCAGTAGGGACAGTAACCTAGTTTTTGTGACATTTTAAGTAGTTAGATAAGACAATCTTCTGCGGGAAAGACCCTTATTTTCATATGCTATAATTGACAAATCTTAGCGTCAATAAGGAAAATCAATAGGACATTTGTGTGCTACTTTGTGGTGTGCTTTTAATCCTATCACTAGGTCTACAAGTAATCCTCAACCGGGGCAAGTTTCCAGATGCAATTTATGTTTTGTTTGTGATTTGATTCTACTATGTAATTGAACTGGTTATCTGTGCGACTAATCATACATTAATCAAGCCATATATAGTTAACTTCAGATTTTCACAAAGAAAAATACAATTTTAGATGCACTGCACGGAATGTTCTCCCCCTATCAGCAGGCACTTTTGGATTCTTTGCTTAGGTGACAAGTAAGAATAACAACTTTTAAGTAATAAATAACGAAAGCTTTACCGAGCATGGCTTATAAGATTTATGCTAACATATATATATATATGACACATCACGAATACCAGGATAGGCACGTGTTGGCCGACACTTGAGGGTGACGAAAGTCATTTATTGAGTGCAAATGCTAAAAACAAGGGATAGATAAGACTTATAAATATAAAAGAATAAAGAATAAGCATTTAAGAAACGTGTTCAGAGCATACAACTAACTAGAACACTAAAAAAATAATATAAAATTGAATGAACAAAGGATGGATCATACACCGAGAGAACTCGAAGATGCCGATGCGGAAGTTCCTTGACGCCAGGATTGTATGCCTCGATTCTAAGTCCTGAAGGGGGCACAAAACAAACATGAATGAACTAAGTTTATATATATAAAATAAAACAGTTATCAACATACTAACCCCCAGGTTTTATAAAAACACATATATCATGATAAAAATAGGTTTTCCGAAACCTAGCATGTCGTGCAATGTCTCAAAACATATCTCGTATATATCGTAATCACTAGTAAATGTCCAATATCCCTTCAGGCCCCATGCCAGCTCCTTGTCTATGTGCCAATTGCCAGAGGAAAATCACCCCAGGCCTGGTGCCAGCTCCCCGTCCCTATGCTAATAGCCAGAGGAAAACCATCTTCAGGCCATGCCAACATCGTACCCTCGCTCATGACGGAATTTATCACTCATTCCGTAGCGAAATAGGGACCACTAGGTAAGTACAAAACCATTGAACATATATATAATTGGAAAGCATCTTCATAGTATAAAGTCATCCATCATCTATACTATAAAGAAGTGTTCGAAACATGTTCTAAATATTATATCGTCATCCATCAGATATCCTATAAAGAACATGGGTTATACGAAAAATAGTAATAATTCAAAATAGTCTCAGTAAGCATGTTATTTCAAAGCGTTTCACAAAACGTAATAATTAACTCATGCTTTTCATGTATGCATTTCTACTATTAAAACATGCATTTTTAGAAGGGGTCCACTCACAAATACTTAACCGCCGAAGAGCCATGCAAACTAGCGAACACGGAATTGTCACAAATAATTGCCCCTAAGCACATAAAGGGTCCCATTAATAAAACTATATTATAACAATTGAATTTGCGAAAACGAACGTCAAAAAAGGATTCAGGACATCGAATTACCCCAAGAAAAGTCCCGGTTAATTTTCCAAAAAGTCAACAAAAGTCAACAGGGAAATATTTTTAGAATATTCCGTCTGATGGGCTGGAGGGTTTGGGCCGAAGGACCCTAGGGTTTTTGAGCTTAGGTCCATGCTTCACACGGCCCAGGGGCCTTAGTTCACTTAGGGTTTTGGGTTAGGTTTTAGACAGTGTATTAAAACGCGGTCTGTGTAGCCGCCTAGGCACTAGGCGTCGGGCTGCCGTCGCGATTATTTAAAAAATGTTCAGGAAATTGACAAGGGTATTAGGCGGTGCCTAGGCAGCCGACTAGGCGGGCTAGGTGCCAGGCTAAGCGGCCTCCACGGCGGTTCTGTTAAAATATTTCGTTTCACTACACCATGAGGGTGACGAAAGAGAAACCGAGAGAGCGTGAGGGAAGAGTAAACGTGTGAGAGATATGTAGAAGGAATTGGAATAACAATGCAATTGCAAGAAAAAAAAATGAGAACTTTGACCTGAAAGCCCAGATTTCTTCTCCAAAGAGGATTGCTTCGCTGTGCTTGAGGAAATTGACTGGACTCATGATTAGGTTTTGGAAAATTATATAGAGCAAGAAGATGGAAATTAGGCGGAGAGTTAGGGAATCAGGCGGAGCAATCGAAGAAGAATGGAGGGATAGGAAACGAGAAACTTAATTAGGTGGAGAAGATGGGGAATTCTGGTGGAGCAATAGAAGAAAAATGGGAGGGAGAGGAAACGAGAAACCCCAAATTAAGGGCCTTACCGATTTCCAATGTGTCAAAAGTCACTGCCCTCTGTCAAAAGCCATCCCTCCTGTTAGATCAAATTCCAAGACGTCAAAAGGAAGGCACTAGGCTTATGAATTATATTTAAAAACGTTACCTACTCCCATTATTAAACAAATACATTATATATTATTATCTACTCTCTTTTTTTTTCAAATTATGTACTTAAAATTCTTTACATTATATATATATATATATATATATATATATATATATATATATATATATATATGTTCTTTTTTTTTTTTTAAATAACGTGTTACATTACCTATATATGCTTACTGTTTTTTAAATATTGAACATGTTGGATGGATGTACTTTGTGTATTCTTCTACTATCATTTTACATTTTATCATTATTCTATTATTCATACAAGTATAGTTTGCTTTTATGGTAAATAGGCAATTATTTACAAGATATATAATAAATTTACATAAATTCACCTAGGCGCCCGTCTAGACCCCGCCTAGCCGCCTAGGCACTAGGCCCCTACCCACTGCCCGACTGGTGCCTAGCGTTTTTTAGAACCTTGGTTTTAGAATTAGAAAATTGGGTTGGGTATAGGTAAATGGGCTAAGGGGTTTAGGCCTAAAGGATTTTGGGTTTCTAGGTTAATGGGTTAGGGAATTGGGTTGATAAAAGGGCCTAGGGTAATTAATTGGGTTTGGGCTTAAAAGGGTCACGGGTTGGGCTGGAGGCCCGTGGGTTTTGGACTGGTTTCAAAGGACTTGGGTCGGGTTGACCCATTTTTAGGCCAATGAATTGGCCCGTTTCTGGGTTGATTTTCCAAGGCTCATAACTTCTTCGTTGCTCATCCAAATCAAGTGATCCAAACATGAAAGTTGTAGCACTCGACGAGATGAAGAGATTGATACCCTGCATATCGGCCAACTAGCTGTAGTTTGGCCGGAAAACATCTCGAAATGGGAGGTGCTCGCAGGAAAACTGCGTTTTTGGCCTAAGGTTTAGACAATTTTCAAAGTTTCGTAACTTCTTCGTTTCTTAACCAAATTGGGTGATTCAAAAGCAAAAATGTAGTTAGGAATGTGGAGAAGATATTCATAGCAAGTGAAGACCGAGTGGTGGCCAGAGTTGGCTGGAAAATGGCTTGAAAGATGGCCAAACGACCACGGCCAAGGAAATTTCCAGATTTGCACAGTGACTTCCCTTGAGCTTTCTGAGTTCCTACACCATCAAAATCACCCAAAAACTTACTAACCGTGAACCTAGACATGATCTAAAATGATAGGGACCAATTTCGAGGCTTAGCTTCGTCGGAAATGTGAGAAACTCGACGAGGAAGCTGATGAATAGTGTCGGCCGAGGGTGAGGAAAAGGTTTGGGGTGTTTTCTGGGTTCATGGGTTCGCCTAGAGGAGAGAGGATGGTGGTGGAGGGTTGACGTTGTTGTTGTTTGTTGTGGAAGGCCCTTAGAAGGGCTGTTTTTAGAGAGAGCCGAGAAGAAGAGAGTTGCGAGAGGGAGAGTGAAAGAGCACACAGAAAGGAGAAGAGAAAGAGATGAGAGGCAGGAAGACACAAATCAGGGGGTGGGCCCCTTGGGCTCACCAATTAAGACTCAAAAATCAATTTTAAAAGAAAAAAAAATCTAGCCGAAGGTGAAATTTCACAAAAATATCCCCTTTGTTCCGATAAAATCGGGACGGGTTGTTACAATATATATTAGCAGAGAGCACACACTTTGTGTGTGTGTGAACAATTTCTCTTAATAAGTGCATATTTTTTTTAATATTACATAATTACTGTTTTGTCCTCTTTATGTAAATATTATGCATCAAAAGTGAGGGTAAAATTGGAAAAATATGATTGTTATTATCTAAAAAAAAGGGTAAAATAGGAAAAATAGGGATATGGTTGTTATTTTGTCAAAAGGTACAAAATTACTATTTTTCCCTCATCATGTCAACATTGTGTATTCAAAAGTGAGGGCAAAATTGGAAGAAAATAGGGCAAAAAGTTGACAAGCCCTCTTCTCTTAGTAGAATAGATATATTTGTGTGTGTTTTGTGTGTACTTCTGAAGGAAGATCAATGGAGCTTCAACATTTTAGTCACAAGCATCCATTGATCTTCAAG